TTCGTTTTTCAATAGCAGTATGACCAAAATTTATACATTTGTATATTCATGATATTTGTTTGAAACCAATAGCTCATAAATATTTTCTGTGTGTCAAGTAATTTTGAAAACTCCAAAGAAAAAAAATAAATGCAATATAAAAGGAAGGAATTTTCCTAGCTGTATTGAACTGAATCAAATTTATCCAAGATACAATTTAGATTTACATCCAACAGTTTTTGTTTTGATGAGAACTCCTTAATATTATAAAACATGCATTTTTACACATTATAATTACACTTTTTAACAAAAATGTTTATGGGATAAAACATTCACCAAAGATCAATCTTGGAAATACGTTTTTTGCTATATATAGGATCTCACATTTGTACTTCTGTTGGATATGATTTTTATCCAACGAGTTGTGTGGATTTTATCCCCGAGCCTTGGCGAGGGGATAAAAACACACAACGAGTTGGATAAAAATCATATCCAACTACAAATCATGTGAGATTCTTTTTATCCCATGTTTTTACACCACGAACAATGTTTGACACAGTTTTTATATAGGACTCCATTTCATTTTAGTTCATCACTAACGCAAAATTCATTGTGACGTCACAACTGTGTGATATGAAAACGATATCACATGAGCTATATCAGCGGGATAAAGGGTTAAACATGGGATAAAACATTTTATATTTCATTTTAGACTAACACTGTTAATGCTTGTAATAAAAATATATATATTTAGTTATTAAACAAGGAACTGACCATAATTATACATGTAATAATTTAATTATCGTAATAATAAACGAAAGCAACTCTAATCCACTAATTTTTGATTTTTGTAATTTTTTTTTTATTTTGATTTTTTTTTTTCAATATAAAATACCGTGCATAGCTGAGCAATGTAAAGAATATTTTTAGGGGAAAATATGTATTTCTCCATTTTCATGCATTTAAAAGAATAAATTCTATACCGAGTATCTCGTATGAAGCAATCTGATTAAATATTCAATGACCATATTGTACACATATTATTTTTTATCGACTTTTTAAAATAAATGTAATTGATTTACAGAGTGTAGTTTTGGTACATACGGATTTCAGTGTGAAAATATATGCAGAAACTGCATAAGCAATCAATGTGACGGTATTACGGGAATCTGCATATTAGGGTGTAGAAATGGCTGGTGGGGCGATCTGTGCGATATGGAATGTGCATCAGTTTGTGTTGAAAGCTGTGATAGAAGCAATGGTCATTGTTCTAAGTGCATTTCTGGAAAGTATGGTCCAAACTGTTCAGAATCCTGCAGCAGAAACTGTAAGCCAGCAGGCATCTGTCTCCAGGATGGGGAATGTCAAAATGGCTGTCTGGAAGGATGGTCAGGGCCAATGTGCTATCAAAAATGTTTCGACGGGAACTGTAACAATTTAAACTATACTTTAACCCCAGCATTGTGTGAACAGTGTAATGGCAGTAAAGGGGAATGCCAGAGATGCCGTTCAGACTATTTGTTGTGTGCAGATGACTTGGGGAACTGTTTGAAATGTGATAATGGGTTTGGGAATTGTACAGAATGTATTAAAGGGCGATATGGGGCTCAATGCAAAATGAATTGCAGTGACCATTGTATTGGTAAAGACTGTGACTTTGATGGACTATGTACTTTAGGGTGTGAGGAGGGCTTTTCAGGAGGAACGTGTACAGAACGTAAGTTTATTTGAAAAAAAAAAAGATAAAGTTTTCAGCAGTAAGAAACAAAAATATTATGGAAAACGTTCGTACTTGCAGCACGTTAATACACAAAGTAAACTAAATAAATGTATATTATAATCAAATAAGCATAAAATTAAAGATATTTTTCTGAATTCAAGAAATTTATGTAAAGTTTTTAATCTTTCATTGAAAAAAAAGTAATTTTTCCACTGGCCTTTAGAGATGATTTATTTATTTAAATATTTTTATAATACTGTACCAAAATACAGTATACAAATTAGATTGTTATTTTGATTTTTCTTTTTTCCTAAGAACTATTATACCTGTTCATTGTTTTAGTAATCCAAACGAGCGTGATTGAGTCATTTAGAGCACCCTATATAATTGCTGTATCTGTTCTTGGTGTCTTATGTACGAGTTTTGCAGTTCTGCTCATTCGATTCAAGATGAAAGACAAAAGGTACAGAATCATAGGGCATGGTGGATTGTTCTCTCTCTCTTTCTCTCCTACGCACACACACAATAAGCTTTTAACATAAATACTACTTAATACATGTATCAATTTACATTTTCTAGGAAGAAAGAAAGTGAAATGCAGGTAACGTATGAATGTTCACGAGTCATCCATGAAGCTGACCATGGATACGAAACAGTTACAAACTCATGTCATACCCTGCAACTTGCTGACCAAGACAACGAATGTGTCAGAGAACCAGATTATCAAACTATTGATTTTTGTACAGTTTGATATTTATGTTTGATCAGATTATAACTGCAAGCATTATATTATTTTAATGGGAAAAAATGTACCAAGATATTTCATAAATGCCATTTTTTCGTGCTCAAGTGTCCATGAAAGACTTGAAATACGTGTTATATTTTTCTGTCCTAAATATTTTAAAGATTTGTAGAATAAATGACTCTCAATTAGAATTATGAATATCTATTGCTAAAGAATGGTTCTCAGAAGAAAAATTCATAAAAAATCACAAAAATATATTTTCATTTTATCAGATCAAACCATAATTAAGGTTACAGTCAAAATCACAAGTTCATTGACCTTGGTGTCATTTGGAAGAGCCTAATACGTGCAGTATGCATATCAACTGGTTAACTAATGAATGAAATATGTGGAGATAATGAACTGTATTTGAGCTCAAAAGTCCATTTAACATTACAAAGTAGGAGCGGGGCAAACACAAACCTCCAACACATCAGAGATGGGATCAGGTGTCATGGAGGAGTGAGCATTCCCCGCCTACGGGTCACATCCGCCGTGTTCTTTAATCAAAAATAATAAATATACGTTGCCTTTTGGTGTGGTAATAGAGAAAAATTGGCATTTTTTTATATATAATTTGATTAGTTTAGGTTACGGTGAGGTGATGTGATGGATGCTAAGGTTTGGTCGAAACGTTTTACATTTTCCTGACGAACACTAAACGAGCAACCAATTAAAATGTACTCTATTCTATGTTGCAGGTGTTTGTCTCTATTTGAATAATTTACAAGAGATCTAGAAAGGCAAATATGGCAAACTAACAGAAAAAAACTTTCTGATAAACGTTAGGATTTTTCTATCCTCAACGACTTCCCTTATTTATGTAGCAATATGTCTTCAGTAACTGCACTTGGCATCTGTTTACAAGTTTATTCGAAACGCAAAAGCATGTTCTATGTTCAAAAATTTTCCAAGTAGAGGCAAGCTATTGGCAAAGTAGTTGATTGTAGTGTCCGAAAATATCAGTCCCCGCCGTCCCTGGTTTTGAATTTATTTTTCATTGTTTGCTTCCGCCCAGTTCAACAGTACGACGTGCTTACAGATATTTGTCTTGTCCTCTCCTGGAGTAAGTTTGATTGCTTTTTTTGATATGTGATCATAAATTGATTGATAAACGTTTAAATATCATGTACGCTGAATATCAAAGGTAAACATTTTGTGTATTTTGCATAATTCTGCATTTTATCTGCTATTTTTGTAACCGGTTCACTTAAACATGGCGGACAGTTTAGGTCATTTTAATATACTTAGATATTATTATATCGATTTACTGTATTGCGTCATTTTTCTCTTCATAAAGTCTATTTATAATTGACAATCACAGCTTATTACATGTCAGTACAATATTTTATTGTGAAACTTATGTTTTGATTGTGTCTAAATGTGTGCAATTTATTTATAGTTTTCCCCCTCTTCCGAGAGGTCTGTGAATAAAGCTTAACAGCATATTGACATATATAAACTTGTTTATAGTCAACATTTTGTAAATTCTGTGATCGATGCAGTTGACATGCAGGCAAAAGTTGGATAATATGTTCATGAAAGTTTATGTGACTAAAAGCATTGTATTTTATCATTCTTACCATTAATTTAACGAGAAAATATGAAAATGAGGACTTGGTCGTTGAAACCCCTGTTACTTCAACATGTATGCCATTGGCTTGCCACGTAATTGGAGTCCTAGTCTATAAAACAAAAAAGTTTTACAAGGAATAAAAACATATATTGTATCAAAGAGAACTAAACCGGACGTCCATACTAAAAATGAACTAAAATTTTAATAGTCCGCCTTAAGTATTTATTGTTCAATGCATCTATTATCCTGACTTTTATTTTCAATTTAAACGATGAAAAAAATTCCAGAAGTTAATGACAAAAACAACATGACTGAAGCAAATGATTTTTTTTTCAAACTGTGGCTATATATACCATAAATAACGTATTATCCTTTACATTGTGTATCATTTCTACTGTTTTAGAAAAAGAAACCAGGAAGCAAATAAAATATAGTGTCTTTTTCATACAAATCACACTTAAAGTAACACTTCTTATTGATAAATTAGTCGTGATGTCGATTAAATGGATTTTGTTTTGTCTAGTTCTATGTCTGATGTTGGACACTGTTGTTTGTAAGTATTATTTCTTCTTGAATGCACTGATTCTCAAAAGGCGGGGTTAAAAAAAATTAAGTGCAGGGCGGGGCAAATAGCTAGACAGAAGCAGGGCGTGTAGCAAGTGGATTGGTGGAATCAATAGCATGTAAATATACGGAATACGAGCTGTCAGATTTTTCGATTTCATGACGACGATCAATTGATTGGTTTTCGTGATAATTTTATGCATTTATGCAAATTATCACGCAACCCAATCGATTGATCGCATCATGAAATCGAAAAATAAGACAATTATTCCTTGAATAAATAAATTTTTTAATTTGTGTGGCTTTTTGCCCCTATCCCAAACACAAAGTGGTCGGGTCCCTTTTTCCTTTATCTTAGATCTGCCACTGGGTATTTACATGTAGATGGAGGAAAATACCTGATAAAGATCTACAACGATGTGGTTAGTGATAAAATGTTATGCTTGCATGAATGGAATGTTTGGGTCTTTCTCATCAAACTTAAATTTTGGTATATTCATAATGAAACGTTAATAAACAAGATTGTTTTACCTTTAAAAATTTGTTTCTATACAAATCTATACGGGAAAAAGTCTAACATTTTTGATGTTTTTCTGAGCGGGCATAAAAAAAATCGATGTTGAACCGCTGAGTGAGATGTTGGACCGCTTACGTCACAGATTGGGCGGAGCTTATTCTCATTTTCATTCGTTGGTGTAAAACAGTGACAGACCTTATGTTACATCACGAAATACAGTACAAATGCATGTATGTCAAAAAATAAAATTAAATGAAAAGTATAACAAAACATTTACTGACAGAGTTCTCGGGCAAAATGCGCTTTGTCAGACCCTCGAACAAAACTGTCTGTCTTCGGCCTAACGGCCTCAGGCAGACAGTTTGGTTCCTGGGTCCAAAAAACGCAGGTTGCCCTCGAACTCAATCAATAAATGTATAATAGATATGGGTTACCCCATATCCAAAGATATTCGACTTTTAGATTTAATATGTTTAACAGTGTTTATAATGACTTTGATTTAAAAAAAATGCACTGTCTAATTATGGAACTGGTGTAAATTTCGTGAGTCCGTAGCATTATGGTCACCAAGTCTCCTAACAAACAGTACACACACACCTGTGTCCGCAAAACCAACATTAGCCTTGGGCAACGCACGTGCAATGGAGTTGTCAAAACGCATCTAGCAAGCACGGAGAAACACGTTTTGTTTTGCCGAGAAGTTACGATGGCAGACAAAACTTTTCTTTTCTTAATTAGATCATATGGATACGAATTCTTATTAATAAACATTAATATTCAATCCCTGTTGAACTATATTTTGTTCTAACATTTGCATCTGCAACAAAGTATGTTTAAAATGGGTTACATGTTAAAGAAAATCAAGGCGGGCCGGGAAATTCTAAACGGAAAACCTTTTTTGTTTTGAAAATTAATGAAATATACTAATGTATTCGTCGCAGAAATTACTTATATAATTCAAATTCTATAGAAAATGATATGCTGAACTTCAACACGAACCCAGTTTTCAGTTTAGAAATCTCCGACCCGGTTCTTGTTTTGCTACACATTTTATACCCTACAGTTTACACAGTCTACACACGAGCAGAATCCGGCCAGGAATAGAAAATTTCGTCATTTAATAATACACACACGCACACCGAATGATTAATTTTTTCTTTAAGAGGAAATTGTATGATAATTAACGGACTATAAACATGTACTTAATACAATTGTTGATATAGCATTATCAATTCATCGGTGAAAAGATATCAATCGAAGAATGACCTAAATATACTCTGTTATCAAACATGTTTAAAAAAGGCAGAGGAGGGAGCGAGCGTAGGAATATTTGCATTTCGGGGGGAATGTGAGTTTATAAAAATATTTTGACGTATTAACGTATGACATACACAACATTATTCTTATCATGAACAATAATGTTGTATGTACATGTACTTATCATAATCGAAATATTTTTGTCGGAACAATTTGTGTGAGTCGCCGCTGACTACAGTAGTATATCTTGCATTAATAATAAGCACTGATTGAATATATTAAAAAAAAAAGAATTGAAAAAAGCAAATTAAAGGAAAAGATATGGGCTAAGGCCCCGTTTTGGACCTTGGTTTGGTCCATAGAATGATGCATTTGATCAATAAAAACCCCCTGACACAAATAGAATATTGGTTCCAAGTTATGGGATACACGGAGGTCACAGGAAGATAAAAGAAAAATATGCCATTTTTCTAACTTTCTTATTTTAATGCAAATTCATCTATTTTACAGCACCTTTTGGTTCAGAAAACATAGATAACAAACTTTCCTATCTTCCAAATTTATATATTTCATACACTATTATCACATGCATCATGTGTATGAAAATCTCAGATACATGTAGGCAAGTTTGTGCTCTATGATTTCTGAAATAAAATGTATCTTAAATTTGACAAAATTTAAACTTCAGAAAAATTGATGAAACTTGGGAAAATGTCTTACTTCTGCACTTTCTTGTGGCCTTCATGTTAAAGCTTTGAATCAAAATTAGTGCTTAAAACAAGAATTGTTTTAAAACAAGCATTATTTTTAAAAGTCCTTAGCTACAAATTATAACAATTTTTACAGCGTTCTGAATTTTACACAAAATAAGGGACCAGATTTGACCGTTACCATATCTTGTCCTTTGTGGCAATGTCTTGTGATACCACATCCTCTAACACTGTTGCTTGAATTTTTTATCAATTACTTCTTTTTTTACACTATGAGTTGAATTATTCCATATAAATGAAAAAAAAAATATTTTTTACAATTCCTTACAGAACAATTCATAGGGATTTGGAATGGACGAAACGTTATTGTTAAGTTTATCGATATACAAAAAT